TTGGAGGTGCGGCATCCTGAGATACAGTATTCTAGATATAATTGTGACAGAGATAAGAACAGCAAGTTAGTAAATTGATTGTACATGTAGTTAATTAAGTATACAGCTATAATTTTACAATTTTAAAAAAAGTCGCTCCAAAAGACCAAAACCCACGCATGCACATAAAGTATAAAAATGCTCATATTAAACTCAAAAAAATTAGTCAAAATCAGCTCAAACTTTCTACATAGCATGAGTACATGTATGTGTATTAGGAAAAATTATAAAAAATAAAGAATTCTCTTCTTTTCAATTTTGGCAAAATTTGGGCAACGTCCCTGTACAGGGACTTACAGCTTAGACCCAATTTTTGATCAACTTAAAAAATTCATTAAAAAATCTAAACTCATTATTTACGAAGCATTAATATTATGTGTACTAGATAGTGCATTATAAATTTTAAAACATTGTTGATGGAGGACATTCTCTCTCTCCCTCCATTAGATCAAGTACATCAATTAAAAGTAGCATGACAACTGGTAACATCCTATCATTCAGCAATACATCATCATCCATTAAGAATCACTCATGGAAAGGATTCCTTCATTAACATGAACACTCACTTTGATCACTTTTTCATACTGCATAGCAAAATTAATTGTAATGTCTAGAGAGTTTTACTGCATCAAATTAGACGCTCAATTACATGTAGGTGTGCTTGATATAACATGCATAAAATGGAATCAGAATATTCTTAATTGTACTAGTAAGAATAAGATGAATGAAACTTGTTTATTCCGGACATCTTAGAACCCAATAATACTGTCTTGATTATGAACCTGTCCTTATTTCAGAGGTTCATTAATACACATTACTATTGTATTGGGACTGATACTACCTGTCCTGATTATAGAGGTGTCCTTATTTTAGAGTGTCCACAATAACAAGTTTGACTTTTAAATATTAATTGGGAATACATACAGAAAGTGAATCACATTAAAATAAGAATAACAATAATGATGATGATGATAATAAATAATAATTGAGACAGGAGAGATTAATAATAATGATTAATTAATAAAAAAAGTACTTGACACAAATACAAAAATCACACATCAACAACACATGAAAATAGTCCTCTCTCTTTAAAGAGGATCAACTGTCTTAATTAGGTACATTCAGAGAGATGGAGGAAGGGAAGCTCAAATATCCAATCGACAATTGTTTTATATATTTAGCAAATTTAGCTTGTACAGGGTTCACGCGTCAGAATGTCCATTCAAAACCAGATTAGATTGGACTCCCTCATCATCCTCACTCTATTGCAATATTATCCAGTACCCACGGAAGGGGCCCATAGCTGGACCTGCTCCAGACTTTTGTCTTCTCAAAAGTAAATAAAATTTAATTAATTAATTTTTAGCACCTACTAACAATTTCAAGGGCTCCTAAAAATTCAAATAATATTCATTATACACATATGAACATGTATTTGCTTTGGAGATAATTATTCTAGTGTACATGAAGGGCACCTGAAAATATTAATGTACAGGCACAGGGTTTAAAATTTCCAATTACGTCATATGCCAGGTTTATGCAGTCGCCTGACCAGGAAATATATCTTTTAAAAGACTCTGAAATGAATAAGTGAATACACACATACACATGTACATGTACACCTCCAGGTTACATATAGCGCATAACTGTTTGTCTCTCATACTTTTTTTTGTCCTTTTCTCATTCTATTTCTTCTCTCTCTTTCTTCTTCCTCTCCCTCTAGTGGTAATGGCAGTGTATTAGGTTTCATTAAAACAGGACGAAAGAGATTATTCCTAACAGACAACAGGACGTTACTGCATGAAGTGGAACCATTATGTATCATGGACTTTTATGTACACGAGACACAGCAAAGGAGAGGACATGGGAAAGAACTTTTTGAGAATGTATTACAGGTTTGTGAATCCCATTCTACCAGTTATTAATTAGTAGGCGTAGCTTATTTTTAGGAGGAGGGTCTAAGTGCATTTGAAGTTGCCATTGATAGACTTCATCAAAGTTTCTGAGTTTTTTACAGCGTCATTATCAGTTGAGTAGCTATGTGAAACAGGTGAGATCTTTTCTAAGTATTTTGGTTTTATTGTATAATTATTTTAGAACAATAATTTTGTCGTTTTTGACAAGTTTTTCACGATATGCTCTCATGTTGGTTAGTTATCATTTCTGGGTGTGGTTTAATTATCTATTAATAACTAGATCATGGGCGTGGCATGCACAGGAGGCACTCCCTCCCCTCGTCAATGCATGCTAACACTAATGGAGTCACTGCTGGGAGGACCAGAGGATTGAGAATGTCACTATCACCATTGAAGAATAACGAGTAAGTACATGTACTGTACATGTATAAAACTGTATATGTACAGGTAATACTGTAACTAGGTGCATAAATATACTCCTAAAATTGTACTAAAAATATAAATTGTACTCTACTAAATATAAATTGTACTAAAATTGTACTCTAAAAATATACTCCTAAAATCAATATACTCCTAATTGTTGTATGTGTGCATCTAAAATTACATGTATAATTGAGTTCCTATTTCTTTTTATTGTAAACGAATTCTCCTTCATCATCATTGTCTAGTAATAAATTAATATTATACATGTCCTCCGTAATTTTAAAAACTTACTATCATGGGTTTCTTGTGTAGGGTATGTATCATTACCACAATTAGAACTAGAACCTAAACAATAGCAATAAATGTTAATGCTTAATAGTTAAAATAGTTATTAATTAATAATAGTTTTAATAAATTTTTTATTTATAAAAAATGACGCATTCTGAATGGGTTGTTGATAAACCAAACTTACACTCAATTAGCTATGAAGTTTGTCACTGGCCGACAAGAAATGTACATGTACATGTACATGTACATGTATGTCATTTAAAATAAAACTGACTTGATAGTATACAGTGAGAGGATTCTTGGTCGTGTGGGTTCTGGTCCTCTTCAAAGGCAGTGTAAGTTGTCTCTTGTACTGGTGCTGGAGGTGCTACAATATTTGCTATTATTGCCTCTTTGATGTCTGTCTTGATTTTTTCAGTCATTCCTTCTGCTTGTTGGTCCATTTTTGCTGCCATTTCATCCTTCAACCTGCTAGTTGTATTCTGGACTTCGTCTCTGAAGGCTGTTCCCTGTTCTTCTATCTTCTTGCTTCGTTCATCTTATCGGACATCTGTTTCTGGGATTCTTTTATTTCTTGAGTTGCCTGTTTCATTCCTGATTTTATATCTGTCATGTCACCTTTGACGTCGTTTTTAACATTCATGAGTTCCACTTTGATGGTGGCTAGCTCATGGGTCAGTGCATTGACCGCCCCTGTCAATGCTACTGTCTGACTCCTCTCTTGTTTCACAATCTGCTGTAGCTGTTCTTCCATGTCACGCTGTGTCTCCTTGTTTCTTTAAGCACAAGTCTTATTTGCTTCTTCTATCTTTTCTCTGCATATTCTTTGTTCTTCCTCCAGTTTCTCCTTTGCCTCTTCTATCTGTTTCTTTAACTTTTCTTCTAATAGCATGATTCTTTTTATCAACTGGGCAATTTGACTATCTTTATCACTCATTGCTATAATAACGAAACACACATTTGTAACTATATGTGATTTGTACATGAATATTTCAAGCTACCTTTGCTGAAGTACTCTGCATGTGTTGTTTTTGTTTCTCTCATTTCTGCTTCTTTGGTTTCAAGCTTTTCCATTAGCTTTCTGATGAGCCTGTCCTTTTCCTTAATGCCTACATTATACAGTGTACAGTTAATTTCATTTTGATACATGTGTGGTATTACATTCTTCTGACTTTTGACATAGCTCATCTTTTATTTTCAGTTCATTGCTGGCATCCTCAAGATCCCTCTCATACTGCTTGAGTTTATCTTCTAGGTCTTTGACTTGTTTAGTTTGTTGTTCTTCTCCTCCACTTGCTCCCTCTTTACTCATGATTTTTTTAAAGTCTTGTCAAAATGAAATGACCGTCTGTCCATTAAATTAGAATAGTTTATATGGTCTACTACTAAAAATTCCTTTTCACTTGATTGCATGTACATGTGCATTGCACATGTAGAGAAGGTACATTATAAGAAAATCAACCAAAATTTACACACTAAAACCCACTATTGTTAATGTAGCTGTTTTGTGGCTTCTGTTTTGGGCAGTTTTATACAAAAAACTGCAGTTTTGCTATATAGCTTAGTTGTAATTTATATGTACATAGACTAGCATATTGCGCAGTCAAAGATATGCAAAAGATAATCATTAATCATTAATACAAGTATGTATATGTCATTATGTGGTTACTAATGTTAGAAGTCGGAATTAGGTTCATATGAATTTGTCTGTGCTGGCTAAAAATAAAAATAGTAAGAATAGTAAAATTTCTTAAGCTGTAATTCAATAACTTACTTCCATGGGAGTTTTGTGCAGGAATAGAATCAATACCACAGTTAGCGCTAGAGCCTACAGTAAGTTTAAAATACTTAATAAAATGGTGCTTTGTCACTTGCCCAAAGCAGTGATTTACACTGTGAAAGTGACGGCTTAGAGCCAAATTCCTTTTTAAAAACCTTTGGTTGCTGTTGTTGTTATTATTACTATAATTATTATTATTACTATTACTACTTCTACTACTAACTTGATATTACACACTGAGAGGGTTTTTTTATCAAGTGGAGTCTCAGCTTCTTCACAGGGACTGTACTTAATTTCCTCTTTTGGCTCTGGTGCTGGATTTATAGCTTCTTGGATGTCTGACTTTAATTCTTTTATTTTTTGAGTCACTTCTACTGCTTGTTCGTTCATTTTTGTTTCCATTTCATCTTTCAGCTCCTGTTTTGTATTCTGGACTTCATCTCTGATGGCTGATCCCTGTTCCTCTATCTTCTTAGTCATTTTTTTAGTTGTTTCGCTCATTTCATCCTTCATTTCTGACATCTCATGGGATACTTTCCTTTTGGTATCATGAAGTCCTTCTTGGATTGCTTCTGCTTGCTTTTCCATGACAATTGAAACCTTTTGAAGATTTTGTTCTATTGTGGCAAACCTGTCCATTACCATTTGTTGGAGTATCACAACTTCACTGTTGTTATTATGATTAGCTGTTTCCCTTAGCTGGACTTGTTGTAGCTTCTCTTCCATTTCACGTATTGTCTCTTTGTTTTCTTGCTCCATTGTTTCTCTGCATTTTTGAAGCTCCTCTTTTAACTTTTCATCTGACTTTTTAATTTGCTCCTTTAGCTCTTTCTCCAATGAGTAGACCCGTTTAACTATATATATATAGTTCAGCGATTTGGCTGTCTTTATCTGTAGATACATTAACTGTCAATGCTTTTTCTGTGTGTGTGTACCCTACATATACATTAAAAACATTAATCATTACACATACATTAATCATCTTGACTGTATTGTACCTGCTGTCATTTGTTTTATCTTCACATTGTTATTCATTTTATCCATGTCCAGAAATGCAAGGACATTGATAGGAAATTTCTAGTAAATTTTCCGTATACTGAATTTTAATTTTATACAGAGAACCAATGGTAGGATCGTTAAGCATCCTTATAACTTGTGATGTGGTGAAATTTGCCAAGGTCCCGCTTTCTATATTGTTTGTGTAACAGTAAAGCTCTTATCCTGCTGAAGATCATCCTGACAAGCGACTGTTCCTTTGAAACCTGACCGTCTGAATATAGCACTATCATTGACGCCATCTTTCCATTAAGATTTTTGAAATTTTAATTTTTTTCATTTTTGAAAGGTTAAAACTATAAAACTTTATATTTTGAAGACTTTCCCGCTTCGGAAATTTAAAGTAAAACTAATTTGCAACAGAATGGTGTATAAATAATAAGGTACTCAGTGCAAATTTTTGAAACCTGAGCTTTCAAAAATCATAAAATTCTGCACTCATGGTTGCATGACGCCATGCATGAAAAACAATCAGCTCTGCACAACAAGCGTCTTAGTGACTCATGTACTCAGAAAAAGACACTGAATGTCAGGAGAATGCAAACTAAACAACTTACAAGCAAGAGAAATATTCTAAAACAAGCAAAAACAAGATTTATCATTGCTATTTCCTTCAAGTGCCACGCTTGCCATCTAAAGCTAAGAAATATGTGAAAATAGCATCTCCAGTTCGATTCACAAGACTTCTAGAAAGCCTTCAGTGCCAAATAAAGTCCAGTAGTCACACTAGACAGAAGTTATTGCTCTTCGAATAGAGATGACAAGATTCCTCCATTCTCCATCACTACTCGTTGCTATGGTAATTTCAATGAATATCATTAAATTAAAATGACCGCAAGTTCCATTGCAATTTCTGGACATGCATTTAAGTGCCTGATAAATGCATCTCTTTCTTCTAAGTCTATTTACAATTATGCATCACAAATAAAATATTTGTGTCAATCTTTTTTTACCTTTTCTGTTATCTATACCACATTCATCTTTAGCCTTAACTTCATCACCATCTTCATCTTTGAGCCTATTTCTCTCGTGGCTTTTAAGACTGATTATCTCCTCATTTTTAAGCCTAATTTCCTCATCTCTTTGTTTTAGCTCCTCTTTGGCTTCTTGAAGCTCTCTTTCATACTGCTTAAGTAACTTTTTGAGGTCTTCTTGTCCTCCTTCTTCTCCTCTTATTTCTTCTATGCTCATGACTCAAGTGAAGGGGCGGGGCGGATAATCCTAATTGATTAATCCATAGATATTAGAGTAAATGAAATATCGGCAATTTCTTTTTCGCTATAAAGTATTGCCATAATGTAATGCATAGCAAATA